GATGCTCAAAAAATGAAGAAATTTAACAAATAAGATGTTTGCCCAAGGTCATAGAACTAGTTTTTTTTTTTTGCTTTTTTTTTGTTTTTTGTTTTTTGTTTTTTTGGTGTGCTGCAGAATTTGGACTCAGAAATTTAGCTCTCAAATACACTCTTTTAACCATTTGTATTATCTGAGGTCACTTCATTTTCTCTTTTTAGGGAATCAGCTCACATGAAGATTTTTACAAGTACTCCAGGTCATCCTAAATTTTCTCTGGTTCTCCAGTTCCCTATGCTATATGAGTATGTACTTGAAGGACATGTGGGCTGGGAGTTCTGATGAGTTTCCACACCAGCTAACTCTTATGGCTCCTCTACATCTCACTTCTTCACCAACAAATGAGTATTCCTTTCAGTTCTGTTATTCTAAGTTCTTCAAACACATATTTACAATGTGCCAAAGTCTGGCAGAAGCCTCCACATCAAATCAATTTTAACTGAATGAATTTTTAAAATAATGTCCCACCTCTGCAAAAAAAAAAAAAGCAAAACATCTTGATAGAAAGCTTATAAAAAAAATACAATACTAACAAGTAGTTTTGAGACAATTGATGCTACTTTTCTTTTTTACTCATTTGTATTTACCAGATTACTTTTATCAAGAAGAAACACAGGGTATTTTTTTAAAATAAAATCAAGATAAATCCTATGTAACTTCAGGGGCAAATAAAATTTTGTCAAGAAAGCAATAATCATTTATTCTATCATTGCTTAAGTGTCATTATGTGATGGGCACTATATTATTCTTCAACTCCACCCCCGAAAGACCATCAATATTTATTTGATAAACTTAAAAAAACAGGCCCTCCCAGGTGGCGCAGCGGGTTAAAGCACAGCACTGAGAAGCTGAAGCCACTTGCGCATGAGTTCGATTCCCACCTGCCCCGAAGGAGTCCACATGGCGAGGCAGACCTCTCCTGACCCGCCCGCTGCTCCCCTCAGCAGTGTACTTCGTCAATCTGCCTGTTCTGCTCCCCACTCTGTCTCTGGTGAAGCCTCTCACTGCCCCTGAGCCTCTGGCCTGTACCCCAGTTCTGTATGCACAAATAAATAGGTTTTTAAAAAAAAAACAGCAAAAATCCAAAATAAAAGATACGGCTAGATTTATTTCCTATTAAAATGTGTTAGATTTAATGGAAGGAAGAAGAGCTACTCAGTCACCTCTTCTGACCCTTTAGCATTCAAGCTTTTCAGACCTACCACGTACTTCTGGGTTTCACTCTAATTCAGGGCAAGAGATTTATATGAGAATCAATTTAACATTGTTTCAGGGCCAGCATTCACCATGGGTCTTGAACACTTTCCTAACATAGAACAGAATTTGGAATTCTCCTTTCTCTGTTCTCCCATGACAATGGTCCTCTCAACCCTCTCACTCCCCTGCTTCCTAGAGTCTCTGTCCCTGCTGATACTTTCTTTACCAACTAGCGTGTGTTCTCAGGCATAACAGTCAGCTTCATGATGCCATCCTCTCAGAGCTGGCCACAGCAGAACATGCCGTAGAAGTGAAGGGGCAAAGGGAAAGCAACCCCAATTTACTGACAAAATAATAGTCTTGGTGTCACCTAGTCTCCCAAAGACAATAGAGCAATAATTAGCTTGGCTTGGCCCTTCAGCCCGCCCTCAATAAAACACAATAAAAAGGAATTAAATGGAAAGACAAAATATAAAATGGGTTTACAAGCAACATACCTTTAAGCATTTTATTATCATTTAAAATGAGAAGGTTTAGACTTTTAATTACATAATTAATAGTCCAAGAAGCTACTTGTCTGGACAGAAGGCATACCAACTTCAAGCACCAGAGCGAGGGTGCCTAGGAGCAACTTGGGCATCTCAAGCTGCAAATTATGAATTCTTTTGCACACAGCAACAATGTCTAAAATCCTCTGATCTTCATCATGAATCTGCTTCCAGAAAATAGTAAGTGTTCTTTTATCCCTGAAGGAACTGCCAGAACTGTCAACCTAGGAATCTTCCAGGGCATTGAACACTCTGGAAATTAAGAAACTGAAAGGCCACGCATGATGGGAAAGAAAGTGGACTAAATAACCATGACACGTCTTAAAATTTTAATCTACCCTAGCCCTGAAAATTGGTGGAAAGCTGCTTTTAACCCACTTTATGTTTCTCAAAAGTGAGTGTTTGTGTGAAAAATAAATATTCTGAATTCCTTGGTTAGTTTCTGCTATCAGCAGGCAGAGAACACAGCACTTCGGGTACAGGTGTGTTATAGGTAGGTTAGGGTCAAAGCAGCTATCTTCTGATGCCATGTGGAGTCATCCTCCAAAGCAGAGAATACTCAAGACTAGGAATTTTAACAATCTTGACACTTTTAAGTGAATAAGTGGTTACATCTGCTGTTGGCCAGTTTCCTAAGCAACTCTGGATAAATGCTTGATTAGCATTATTTTCACTCCATCTGGATCTGTGGCTTAAATGTTAGTGGTGTTAGTTTGCTTTATAACATGAGGGGAATTGGGAGCCTTGGAAACATAGCAGCTAACATAGAATTATCTGGAAACTAAAAATATATATATACCATATATATACCAGTACCTGCGTTCTACCCCTGACGATTCTGACTTCATTTGTTTGGGGTCAGCATATGCAAGAAATGCTTTAAAGTTCCACAGGTGATCCTTCCATCCAGCTAAGTTCTCAAACTCTTTTGTGCATAGAAATCCCTTGGGACCTTAAGAAATACACAGATCCTGGCCCTCCCTGGTGGCGCAGCGGGTTAAAGCACAGCACTGAGAAGCTAAAGCCACTTCAGCATGAGTTCGATTCCCGCCTGCCCCGGAGGGGACCACATGCGCGGCCGGCCTTTTCTTGACTGCCAGCTGCTCCCCTCAGCAGTGTACTTCGTCAATCTGCCTGTTCTGCTCCCCACTCTGTCTCTGGTGAAGCCTCTCACTGCCCCTGAGCCTCTGGCCTGTACCCCAGTTCTGTATACATAAATAAATAAATCTTTAAAAAAAAAAAAAGAAAGAAAGAAATACACAGATCCTGATCTTTTAGATGTCAGTAGAGCTTCAGATTCTGTGTTTTTAACTCTCTCTCCAGTAATGCCCAAGTTACTTGTGGACCACACATAGAAATGCGAGGAAATTTTCAGGAAAGAGGGATCCACACCCATGTCCTCCTGTAGCTCTTCGCCGACACGCCCTCCCTGACCAGGGCAGACCTCATGGCCAGATCTATGGCTCTGCCTTAGTTGTCTGGCAAGTTGAACAGATGCTAAAAGTGGTCTTCTGAGTTACCTATGAAAATAAGCAGTTGTCCAAATGTCTGGTAAGTCTTCTTGTCGATCAGGGCTATACAAATGTGAACCCGAGAGTGAGCAGTGAACTAAAAAAAAAAAAAAAAGAGAGAGAATGAATATGAATATGCCTGTTTCACTTTTGCTATGAGTTTGTGCGGACATTGTGAGCAGAAACTTTTAGGACCCTGGCTGGGTCAGATGGTGATAGGAGCTATGAAGAAAAGGAGGGACACTGAGGAAGGAGGGCCCCATCTATATAGAATAGAATACTACACAGTGCACAGATCTCTGCAGACATCCTTGGCCTTGGAATTGGACCCTGTAAAGCTCCCCTGAAGAGATGGCTTACCTCCTAAGCCTTCACCTTCCTGCCAGACTGCTTTCCTCATCTCGCTTGGTTAGAAATGTCCAGGAGGATGAGCTCCAAATTCATGTCACCTCTAGATCTTCACAATCCTTCAGCCTCCTCCCAAGACTTTCTTCTCTCCCCCTTCCCCTGCCAAACTTAGAGCCATCTCCTCACCAGGGTTCTCATCATGGTATCCCCAACTCCTGCAACCATCTCCCTTTCACATAACAAAGATTCAACTACCCTGAAGGGTCCAGTTCAGTTCTATCATTCCATCGCATCTTCCCTCACCTACCTGGCCACCAAATCTCCCTAAGCCATTCTAGAGCACTCTTTCATTGTCTGTGGCATCTGTAAGTCCTGCTGCTCCCAAGTTATCATCTTTTCATGAGAATATGTTTCCCTAACCACATCATAACCACACTGTCCTTCCTTGGACCTGCTGTATCCAGTGCAGTTCTTTGTAAATAATAGATGCTCAGTAAGAATTGTCACATGCTTTTCAGAGAGCTTATCCAAGTTGAGACTCCCAGAGGCAAGACTCTCAGGAGTTTCCACTCATGGACAAGACTTCCTACAAAAAGAATTCATTGCCTCAATGCCTCAGATCCTCTCTAAACCAAAGGTGTTTTCAGTTTGTGGCACCAAACAATCCCTCTTCTGGATTTTCTCAAAGTCCTGTGCTTTTACTCAGCTTTCATACCCAGGCCAATTCTTGTGTTTGGATGTGCATCTAGTTCTATAACTTAATCTTCAGGCCTGTACAATTTTCACTCCTTGTAAGGAAGTCAAAGGTCTTTACAGGATCAGGACCTCAGTCTGTTCCTCTAAAGAGAAAAACAATAGGGTGTGGTCAAGAGAAAAGTAGTGATCCAGCCAAACATCTCCTGGAAAAACCACTCCTACAGCTAGAACAAACAGGTATGGGCGCACTACTTGCTCTGAGCAAACCCTGCACCCATGCAAGACTGCAGACAAATACGCAGGAATGTCATCCAATGCCATCACCCAGGAACTACCATCCAGCTTTTCCATTGGAAGAGGGGAGAAATAGTCCAAAAAATAAACAAAAGCAATGGAAACTATGGATGTGGTCATTAGAATGCACCATGGGAAAACTCTGAAAGCAGCCTTGCTGAAGGGTCTTAGGAATGTCTCAGTGTAACTAGCAGCCCTTGAAAAACAGCAAGAGGGAAATGAAATACATCTGCTGTACATTTCTGTTCCTCCCCCCAGGGTTCAGTGCACAAAGGCCCTGCTCCTTTTTCCCCCAGGACACAAGGCCAAAAATGCTGGCCTGGGTTGCACATGTGACTTGCCTTAGCCAGGTTCTGTATTGGCCTTGGTCACGAAGGGCTGCTCAAAATCCACCCTTGCTGCCCAGATCCTCTTTTGTCTGAGTCAGACTCTCCCAGTTCCCAGTCCTCTGGCATTATAGAAAGGGAAGAGAGTTAAATTCAGTCAAGGTTGAGGAGGGAGGAGAAGACTTCACAATTAAATTGCTAATTAAGGAAGTACCAACCTGAAGAAGCTAATTTGCACTGACCTATTTAAAATATCTAGCAGCAGATCATGCATGAATTGAGGTACAGCCCTCTATGCAGCAGCCAACTGGCTTTCTTTCAGAGCAGCAGCTATCAATAATTCCATGCTGAGGACCATCTGATAGGAAACCAACTACGGCCCCTGGAATGCCAGCATTCCCCACTGTTATTCTTGTTTTCCCAGTTGTCAGCTCTGTTTATACATTGTCCATTTATAGCAAATCCAGCACCTGCCATGAACACCTCATCCTGCCAAGTGTTGGAGTGTATCGCAGAAAGAGCACTATAGACTTTTTCAGTTCCTTTTAACCTTTTCTCAACCCGGGAGCTTGAATATTTGCATAGGAATTCTGAGGGAAGACTCACTCTGTATGGAAAAGGCTAGATAATCTATTAAAAGTCAGTGTTTTGCTCCATTAAAAGAAAAAAAAGGCAAATTATCATTGCCTTGGGAAACACAGTGCTTTCTTTCTGAGCATGACTGACACTGGGACACATTTAAAATAAAAATATTCATCAGGATAAAAATGCTCTGAAAAAAAGTTAAGGGAGTCTTTCTTTTTAACTCTATTACACAGTTTTTAGCTCACTGTCAATACTGCCACTTAGCAGATATGCTGCCTGCTGCTCAAAACTATTATGTAAAATACATTTAAGACATCTTCCCAGTATTGAAAACCCCATATACAATATATATTTTAGATGTTTTTTTCTATACCAATTATCCATTTGCAAAGTGTCTATGTCCACTTCCTTTTAATCACTATATGTTTCTGTTCATTCTGTTCTTTGTAAAACAACATAAAATCAGTGGAAAATGTTGAATATTTCTGGATTATGATTTCATAGTTTCTAGAGTGTTATGAAGGTCAAACCAGGTACTGTGGTGGACAGAAATATATGGGTAACCTAGGGAAGATAGGTTGAGTCCTTAAGTGTAATTTTTCATAATAATTCTCCTCAAGTATAAGATCCCCTCTCTTTGAAAGGCAGGAAAGGAGATCTGATTAAGACCACGTGGCTGAGGTAACTGGGCTGACAGGACAAATTCTTGATCCCCAACTTGCATTCAGTCAAATTAGGGCAGCCTTAGAATTTTAGTGGGAGAACTTGAAAGCATAATATATATTTTTAAATGTTGAGATATTTATCTGGATAAAATACTATCATGTGAAGTTAGTATTAGTAGTTGGCCTGAGCAAACCCAGGTGATAGTTGAAATCAGAAATAAATAGAAGTGATTCAAGGATAAGATATGAATGCATGAGATGAAACATCCATGAAATTTAAAGTGCTGCTCTGGGTAACAGGTTTTTCTCTGCACAAGCTGGAGTCTGGGAAAGTTCATACTTTTTAGTTGCAGCTTATATAGATCAAGCTATTTTTAGATTACATAGGCATCAATTATTTCTTTTCAAAATGGAATTGTGCTTAATTATTTATATGTTACTCCAACGCAAATCACCCCTGCTTACTTTTGGGCTATTTGATGACCATCTGTTTTACCAACCTGGATTCTTTCACTCATCACAGAAGTCATGCCCTATTATTTGACATGATCTCTGAGATGCCTCTGCTGGAGAAAGGAATGTGCAAATTAGGAAACTACAAATCAGTTTGAAAACTCAATGACTCCTTCCCATAAATCTGTGTCCTTAATATTAAAAATCATCTGGAGGTGCTGAAAAGAAGGAGAACTGATAACTACAGAAAACAGCAACTCTACTCTCTTTGGGGCATGGATTAGTAGTGAAGAGAGGTTATGTAGATCTAAATCTATACTCCACTACCAAAAATAGAAAAGAGGAAACCTTTGAAGCCAGAAAAAGGCCTAAGAATAACTGTCAGCAAAGAGCTAGAGCTATGGGCAGGAAGCAATGCTCAAGTGGCAGTTTTGTGCTGCCTTTTTTCTCCTCCCCAGTGGCTTTCACATTCATCTTGTTAGAAAGCCAGCTTTCAAAGGCGTCCCTTGCACACAGATACTTGGGTCTTCACAGCTGGCCTACCCACAGCAGCTCAGGGGCCTGGCGCCAAATATGTCTTCCACACAGTCCTGGGGTTCAGTGTATGTGCCCCCACTGGATCATTTCAATCTATTTCAGGCTGAACAGTGAACTTTTCATAGACAGTGTTATACAGAAAGTCCTTAGTTGGAAATGGTTGACTGAAAAAAAAAATTTGTTTCCTGTTTTGCTTGTGATAATTTTACATTTCAGCTCAACCTAGCTTTCATTTTTTGTGTTAAGTCATGAAAATCAATTCACCAGACCCATGAAGTTTGTTTCCTGTCATGTACTTTAACTGAAGCTATAACAACAACCACTTGAATATCTCTTCTAAAAGCTGATCGAGTTAGAAGAGCTTCTTTGGAAACAAGAGGTGAGGAAGCTTTGGAATGGCCTGTGGGACAGCTGGAGAGGCACAGGGGTTCCTAGAAGGAGAGAAGCCAGTGGTCTGTGACAAGGAAGATTAAAAACCTAAGGACAGAAAGTGGAGTACAGAGGGAATGAGTGGAGTACAGGAGGAATGCAGATTCGTTAAGATATGGAGGAAAATGGCAGCCCCTCTGCTAGCCCCTCAGGCTGAGCACACACACAAACCTATGTGGGGACACTCTGCAAGACCTCAGCCTTCACTCTTCCTTTGGACACCCTTCCCCAAGACTGAAAGGCCCAAATGGGGAACTTTAGAACAACTGGCAAGAACCTTATAAGTCACAGATGCTTCTGGTAGCATACAGGAAATCCTGTTTTGAATCATAGAGCTTTACTAGCGATGGCGGAGAGATAGGGAAATTGTGGGTAGAGGGTTGATAAAATTAATTTGGCCAAACTAGCTATAAAATTAATTCCCAGTTGGTATATTTTATCCTTTGTTATATTTCATATTATGCACATATTATTCATTTTAAAAGATCTTTTTATCTAATCAATAACTTCCAGGATTAATGCAATGTATATATATTTACCAGGATGACATTCTGTGCCTAAACATAGATTGCTATGACTAATTATAATCTGAACTCAGCCCCTAACCAATACATGAGAACATTTAAGCTTCATAAGATGAACAGTTTGAGATTCTTAATGGCTTTGATTGCAAAACAGTTGAATATTTTATTAAAACAACTGGCTAAACTTCATCCAAAAGAAAAAATATGATAATTCCATTCAGGTAGGTTGATGCTTTAAGGTCAATTTGTACTATAATTTGCACTGTAATCACTTACCCCTCTGCTTGGGTAGGGTCTGTGAGTTGCATTGTGATTAGCAAAATTGAAGTGGGCAGGAATCAACATCTCCTAAAAAATAAGGAATCAAAAAGAAGCCATAAAATATGCAAGGTCTGCCGTCTAAAGTTTACAACCTGTATTGTATATTTGAAAGTTACTAAAGAGAGTAGATCCTATAATTTCTCATATTAACAAGAACTTGTATCTTTGTGAGGTTATAGATTGTTAAATGGCTTTACTGTAGTAGTAATTTTTTGCATTGTATACATCAAAACATCTGGTTGTACACCTAAAACTAATACAATGTCACAGAAATAGATCTGCTCTTTCCACACTTTTCCAGGAAATAGCACATCATCTATGAAGCAAGTGACAGTTGCTTATGGTGTTTTTTCTTTTCCACTTAATAGAACTACTTAATTTGAAAAATAAAAAAAATTGGCATGTGAATACCAAAACTATTTTAGGTCAAAACCTCCCTTGTCAAAAATAAAAGTGATGAAATGTTAATTATGTGTAAATGTTTTTGGTTCTCTAATAGTGGCTGAATAAAAAGCCCACTAAGTGCCTTAGCTGAAGCTATTAGTTTATTTGTTTAAACCAACTCTCTCTGGCTTTGCCAGTAGGCATAGCCACTGTTCACAAAGCCTAACCAAGCATTTGTTCAGCACCTGGGTATCTGATGACTATGAGGGAACCACTCATGTTAATGTGACAATTTTGCTCCTCAAGAACACTTAACAGTCATCATCTCATCAAATCCTCAGGACACTCCTTTGAAGTAAGTATGATTTTGTCATTGTGAAATGACATGAGAAAACTGAGACTTCAGTTTTCATCTTTCAGAGACTCATGCAAAATGAGCCAAATTATTAAGTGTCAGAACTAGAACTCAATCCCAGTCCTTCTGGCTCAAGTCAGTGGGCTGCTTGTAAGTTAAAATGGAAACAAGAAATTGCTAGTTCAAATGCAGACATGGCATTTCTTGTCTCCAGTTAACACTTCTCGTTACATCATGCATATTCTATCTGTTTCTGGGGTCACAAGTATTCAGTCTCACTGGTAACAGGATCAGCAACGCTTTATTCTAGACTTTGCTTTGGAATATCTATTTTATTTTCTACAGACTTTGTTCTATAAAACTATATTCTCTGTTGCAGCTGAACCAAAAGTATAACAGTCAAAAACTTCAATCACACCTGTGGAATTATAAGAGCTGTATCTTAAATATGGTAGCTTGTTGATTTTTCCTTATTTTTAATAAATAAAAATTACATTTACTTAAGGTATACAAAGTGATGTTTTGCTATAGGTACTCACTGTGAAATGATTACCTTAATCAAACTAATTAACATATCATCTCCCATCATTACCTGTGTACTCCCTGTAAATTTCAAGTATATAATGGTACATTATTGTTAAGTGAAATCACCATGCTGTACATTAGGCTTCCAGAAGTTATTAATCTTGTACTTAGAAGTTTGTACTTCCATGACTGTCTCCCCTCCCCTGCCACTTTCCAGCCTTTGGTGACCATTCCACTATCCAAATAGGACAGGTTTTGTTTGTTTTGATTTGTCTCTGGCTACATTGGGAGTGTTAGGTAGCATAATGTTGATAGCAACATGAAAGTATTTAATGAAGTTTAAAGTAAGTCTTTCAATGATCACATGGTTGAGACCAATTCTAAAGTTGGACCTATACTGGAAAAATTCTCATTGTTTGACCATCAACCATCTAGGTGAGAAGTGAGGCTAGGGAGCTGCTCCTCATCCAGATCAGTATCTTGCATTGAAAGTCTAAAAATAGTCCTTCTCATGCTGCAGTCTATGAAGCACCTTTTTAGACAAGTAAAATGTTAACTGATTTCAGTTAATAGCAGACTCTGAGTTATCCTCACTTGAATATTTTCAGCAGTCTATTTTTACTTTATTAATTCCAGGATAATTCTAGTTTGCCAGCTAATAATTTCACCTGCTATAAAGTGACTGATTAATGTCCTAAAATTGAAAAAAAAAAATCCCTAAGAATCACTTCTGTTTGGGAGTATAATCAACCAGGCGAGAAAATAACAAAAATAATGAACAACCATATACCAGAGACATTTTGTGGGGGTGGAGTGGGGAATGGGATCAAAAATGAGGGGGGGGGAGGGAAATGCACAGGATTATGGTGATGGCACACAGGTGACTTGGTGATGGGAAATCCGCGGGGATTACAATCGAGATGGAAAAAAATATATACAAAATGATGTAAAAATAAACTTTTGTAATAAAAAAAATGGGGAGAAAAAAAAGAATCACTTCTGTTTGGTAGGCCCCAAGATGTATGTCTAGCTAACTAAATTAAAGCTTCAATGAGGCACAGTGTTTCCAGGAATTGGCACAAATGTGATGAATCCCACTGTCAAAAAAGGAAGAAATCCTCTACATTCCCCCAGTTCATCACTAGGCTCCTCCTTTGGAGTCTCAGTTTACTAAAGAGGACAGTAGACTAAGAGTAAATAGATTTTAGCAGTAATTATCCAACTATCGAGCTTGTTTTATCACATCCAACAATGTTTTAAGTAACTTAAGGTTATTTGCAGCATTCACAAATTTTTCACCAGTGATTCCAGAAGCAATCAGAAACCAAACACTTTGGCAAATATCATAGCTCATTGGTTCCTGGGAACCCTGATCTTCCAAATAGAACAATAGTTGTAATGCCTACATACAGATAAACATAATGGTGCCCTGATTCTGTGCCAAGATCTATTCTACATGTTTTACATGGATTATCTCATTGAATCCTTACAACAAATCCCATGAAACAGGTATTGCCATTGCAAACTCAGGCAAGGGAATGGAAGTTAAATTATATATCCAACGCCAAAAATTAAGTGAATGGCAGTTTCTGACTCCAGAATCTTGCTGTTCACCATGATACTCAATATATATGCAATTTTTAATCTAAATCACATACGGTATCAAACAGAGTTGCTCCAGACTGATAGAACAACAGTGGATTGGAAGCACTCTGTTTCCTATAGCAAGCATCCTCTTCTATTTCTATTATGTGATGTTATTACCGCTCATTTGGAATAGTCATTAGAAAACAATGAGCCTACTAGCTAATTTCTGTCAAGAAAATTCTGAAAGTCTGCAATATTTAAGTGGATGATCACAAATGCCTCTGTTGAATGATTCAGTTCAATGTAGCCACACAGGGTAGGTCATGCCAAGAAAGCTAACGGGTTAGCGTGTGCTGAGGTTTCACGTTGAAGAGTAGCTAGTTATAGTGCAGGTCTGAAAATCAAAAACTGGGAGTTGGATTAAATCAGCATGTAGTTTTATTTCTAAGGCAACTAAATTACCTTCTAAATGTTTTACTTCCTTCCATTAAACAATGCTCTTCCTGGGTTTGATACTTCAGCAGCAACTAAAACAATACTGCTATAAACATACAATATATCAATAGCTCCAAAAATGATTACATTAATTTAAGAATCATCTGTCCATTTGCTTAAGAAGTTAAATGGATCATATTCTGGGTGGCTCAAAAGATGGAAAGGGGAAGGTTATTGATAGTATTGAGTAAAAAACAGAATCACATTTACAATTTAAATTACAACTTTTACTGGCCAAGATACTATTTTAAAAAAATATTTAAGAGGCAATTTGCTTGTCAAAGATCAACTGGCTATCTAATTCTTCTGGATTCATACACTACATATTCCTCAGGACCTGAAGGTGTTAAAGTTACATTTAACTAAAGAGATCCAAGAAGCTATCTGGAGATATAGGAAAGGGAGAGACGGTCCTTTTAAAATTAACAATTTACAAATCAAACCCTATGTAACAATCAAATTAAAGTGATTGTGATTCATTAGAAGGACCTTATGTATTTTTCTTTTTTTCTTTAAGATTTGTTTATTTGTGCATACAGAACTGGGGTACAGGCTAGAGGGGCCAGAATGGTGAGAGGCTTCACCAGAGACAGAGCGGGGAGCAGAACAGGCAGATCGATGAACTACACTGCTGAGGGGAGCAGCAGGCAGGTCAGGAGAGGTCTGCCACACCATGTGAATCACCTCTGGGGCAGGTGGGGATCGAACTCATGCTGAAGTGGCTTTAGCTTCTTAGTGCTGCGCTTTAACCCGCTGCACCTTAACCAGCTGCGCCACCAGGGAGGGCCGTATGTATTTTTTCTTAATTAGCTTCTTTACCTTCACAAATATAGGGAAAAGATGCCAAAGCTTCATGAATAGGATCAGAACTATAGAATTACCATTAAGTATGGGACATAAATACATTCTTTAATTTTATTTTTACACATTGGACTCCTTTGGAGTCCTTTTGGATTATGCTAAAGGCACAGGTTTCTTTTGTAAAAACCAGAATCACAAATCTTCTGAAGTCTCATGTGCAGGGGTGATGGAAATGGGGGATGGATCAGGTTCATTGCTATTTTTCATGGGGCACAAAATGTGTGTGCTGAGAAGGAACAACACAAGCACAACATATATCATACTATCGCACAGGATCATTTAATATATACACTAGCCATAGTGCCAGACTTTAGGGTTACTCTATGGAATGCAACCAGTTATCCTAATAGGTCAGTGTTTGTCAATATTTCATCTTGTGAACTTTTCATACTCTGAAAAGTTATTTAAGACCCAAGGAACTTGTTTCATGCTGGTTTACTAATATATATTATATTGATAGCAACAGAAATCTAAACTGAAAAAAAAGTTCAAATATTTACTCATTCAAAAAATAGCAAACCTACAATAAGTTAAACAGTGTATTTTTACAAAATAACCATTTTCTAACACAAAAGT